TATAGTTATAGTTATAATTTATAGTTATAGTTATAATTTATAGTTATAGTTATAATTTATAGTTATAGTTATAATTTATAGTTATAGTTAGATGTAGATGTAGAGGTAGAGTTATGCTAGAAACAAGTAGTCCTTGTTTAGCGTATGTTCACAATTATGAACTCCACAGGTTTGTAAAACAAAGGGAAACTGAAATAAGCTTAAAAGCATGGCTATGGTTTCACTTAGCGACCTTTTTGCTTAATTACTGAGTTGCCCATCCCAATTTTGGTCTCTAAATGAGGAGTAGTATAAATAACTGATAGGCAATCAAGCTGTTGATCAAAGAACTAGCCCAATAATTAACTCTAAAAATGAATAAATAAAACTTTACTAAAATATTGCATCTTGTTCACTTCCCGGTATATTACATTTGCCCTCTTAGTTTGCAAGATGCCAGCAATCGTGGTGGTTTGCAAGGTAGCCTTTGTTTTAGAGATCTTAACTTGCATAATTTAGTGTGAGCATGTAAGATAAAACTTGGTTTGTCCCAAAAGAGAATAGCTATGTATGTTTGTAAAAGTTTCTGGTATCATCTGGTCAGTACAGGCCTGCAGAGTGAATGGTTGAGGGGAAAAATATTCTGTTCTTAAATGGAAATGTTTTCTTTGTGGCCAGTAGTTTGATAAGATCTGAGAAGTGCATTTTAGTCAAAATGCTTAACTTTCAAAACTTTGTTTCTGTGATGACAGAAGTTTTTTCTTTTCTTTTTTCCACTATAGGAAATAGCCTTTAGGCATTTTAGCACTAGAGTGTCATGTTATAAACTTTTATTTAGAGTTCTACTCCCTGTCTGTCACCTGCAGAATCACAGATGCATTTGGCAAAAGAAACCATACACCACAAATGTGCAGGTGTGTCTGGGCCCTGTGGGGAAATATATTCCCATTAAACTGAACATAGATACACAATTCCAATACAAAGTTTGCAGGAAACTCTACTTTGGAGAGGTCTTTTATGTCCCAGCATCCTGTAGTATGTTAGAACTACTTTATGGTGACCTAAAATTCTGGGAATTATAGTCCAAGCACATCTGGCGAGAGTACCAATTGGAGGAAGTGTTGTAAAGCCATGAGGCTATGTTTCAAATTTTTAGGGAGGCAATAATTCCAATAATTTGGAAGTGCCAACAAAGATAATACAGGCTGGGTTGATTGTCTTCGTTATAAGGCAGGTATCTAAGGGATGTCCCATTTATGGAGGATAAGGCTGAAGCCTCTCCCGTGCCTTTTTAATTTTAATTATTAAAGTTTTGGACGCGGTGGCTCAGTGGGTAGGATGCTGAGCTTGTCGATCAGAAGGTCGGCAGTTTGGCGGTTTGAATCCCTAGTGCCATGTAATGGAGTGAGTTCCAGTTACTTGTCCCAGCTTCTGCCAACCTAGCAGTTTGAAAGCATGTAAAAAAAATGCAAGTAGAAAAATTAGGAACCACCTTTGATGGGAAGGTAACAACGTTCCATGCACCTTCGGAGTTTAGTCAGCTGGCCACACAGTGGTGGGTTCCGGATTCCGTTCCAACCGGTACAGTTGGAATGGCCCCGGCATCACCCATATGCATGACGCTCCAGCTGCTCGGTGGAGCGTTGCAGAGGCGCCGTACGTGCTGTGCACGTGCACAGAGGCGCCAAAAGCTTAAAGCACAGGTATGGAGTGAGGGTGCTTCGGAGCACTGTACCGGAACGGTATCCGGTGCTCCGAGCTGGCTCCGATATGCCCGTACCGGGGCGTACCTCCTGCAACCCACCACTGTGGCCACATGACCATGGAGACATTTTCGGACAGTGCTGGCTCTTCGGCTTTGAAATGGAGCTGAGCATTGCCCCCTAGAGTCGGGAATAACTAGCACATATGTGTAAGGGGAACCGTTAACTTTACTTATTCTTGTTGCTAATTGTTTTTATTTTATTTATATCTGACTTTTGTTTTTATGTCTATTTGTGTATCACTCAAAATTGCTCTGTGAGGGAGATAGGTGGTTTATAAATATGATTTATATGATTATAAAATATGAAATATGATTAAAAGTAAATAAAATATATAAGAGGAGGGAACCTGTGATGACCACTGTTAACTTTGGTGATCCTAGTACACATGTCAACTTAGAAGTGGCTACTACTCTTTTTTCTGTATTATTTCTGAAGATTTATTTGAATGGCTATTTAAAGACTATGACTTTATGTCGCCCTGGACTTTGACACAAAAATCAACTTCTGGTAACACTGCTGGTTTCAAAGTGAGGTGAAAAAAAGCAGGTAGGATGAGGTGGCCAAACTCAGTTTAAAAAATGGATTAATTATAGGTTCTGCCTGTAAAAAAAAATGTGGAGTGATCACTCCATTCCACCTGGAGCACTACAAGTAAATAAGAATGAGCTAAGGTTCACAGGAATATTTTGTCTGGAACACTGTATGTGTTTGACAACTGTATATAAACACCTCATTGACCTTCTCTAATTTGTTTGTTCAGCATAATATCTTGCTGGAATTGGAAGCCATGGCTGTTTCTCTTGGTTTGTTTAACTGACAAGTGGGAGAGGCAGAAATATAGCAGGTGAAGCTTTTCCTGGCATAGAGACAAAAAAATTAAAGCTAAATGTTTCACCTGCTAAATTTCTTCTTGTTAGGCTGAGACTATAAAAGGGCAGAAGCTGGCCAGAACATAGTTGGCAGCCTTAGCTTGGGCAAACTCTGATGTCATGATGGCACTGACAAAATGGCTCATTTGATAAATAATAGAGGACCACATTTTCAGTAAATGGCTTGTGTTTACATTTTGCTGACAAACTATTTTGTTAACTGAGACTATCCAGGATTCTGGTCTTAGCTCACAGGCTTGGCAAATGGTATGTGTGACATAAACAGATAACATGTTTGCCTTCTGGGAGTTAATTCTTGGCTATGGACAGGCTCTAAGGACGATTCGTGATGAGGCTTATATTATGCAATCCCTCTGCTTTCTTGATAGAATTTTATGGGTGGCCCAGACAATGTTATTTTCCACTAGCAATCCTATCATCTTCTCTCCATTGCTTCAGTTACCTTTCCATGCCTCCCCTCCCAAAAAAGTTAGAACATATATGTCATTTTGACTGAAAGTACAAAGAACTATGCATCTGGGCACACCCTCAATCAGCTGCTGCAGAAAAAGTTTTTTTTACTTTCCAAGGTAGAGGAGGCTTTTAAACAGCTGCTTCTCTTGCCATTCAAAAGGCCCAGTGCAACTGTTGTAGCTTATCTTCCCCAATAGATGTTATCCTTTTTTAAAAGAGGGAACCAGTGGGAAAACACAGGCAGATTAGCTATGGAATACAGCAACATCTGGATCTCCCAAAATTTTGTGCATTGGGTAGGGTAATTACACATTGTTTGCAACTATTTATTAAGGAATATATATTATATATATATATAAAATACACACACACACACACACACACACACACACACACACACACACACACACACACNATGTGCCGCTCAAACACTATACTTTTCCGCTCACACTGAAAAAAAATTAGAGGGAACATTGAACTAGAGTAGTACATCTTGACCAAACTGTCAAATCAAGAAATGAAACTGCCATTTCATAATTTTCAGTAATCCAATTTTTTTCTTGTAATAACTCAAATGGTTTAAAAACTTCTCTGGCTATAAGATAATCCACTATTAATATCATTCTTACCTATGTCTTGAAACTAACCAGCAATTTTCAAGCAGACGTTTTAAGTTTGAATGAAAAAAAACTTATTAGAATTAAGAACCATACTTCACATGGGACTGTAAAAGTTCTCGACTACAAAAATATTACTTTATATTCCAAACAGGAGTAAAGGCTGAGAATTTTTAGAAGAAAAAGAAAACATTAGATTATAATGCAAGGGCTTCACTATCCTGCAAACCTTTGCTGCTGAATTGTAATGCTTAGTATGAAAAGAAGGGGCAATTATTATATAATTGGTAATAATTATACTAATAATATACTGTATCTAATTTAGTTACTTTTTTCTTCTAGTTTTAGTCCTTTTCAAAATTCCACCTCACATTACCCAATGCATTCCCATGTTGTAAGCAATACAAAAGTAAAAGGCACTTTTAGATTCCCTGGGTGAACTTTTATGAAAAAAACCTGGACAGCTTGTTATACACTGTAGATGATTAAGCTCTGAAGAGGTAAATACAGGGGGCTTGTAATATAATAAGCAAGTAGTAGAGCCTTGGTAAAATTAAAACTTGAAACAACAGTGTTCTGGATTAGGAACTCAAGAATATCTTGACTTTACAAACATTTTATGATGTTTGGCTAAACTAAGGTTTATACAGTTCTTTTTAATATTAACATATCTTAATAGCAGTGTTTAATTGAAGCAAGCTAAGTTATTTACTGTTCTCGGGGAGTGCAGAACTTTTTTGGGACATAACCAATCTCAGAAATAGAAAAATGAAACAAAGACATGATTTAGTGTCTGAAACAACCAAATATATTCAATCTGTACCCAACTGCACTTTCAGGTTTCCATTCCTAGAAGGAAGGGATAGAAAAACATGTTTAAAATTAAGTTTCAACAATCTTTTAACCTAAAAAAGGTAATTTATCCTTACCCAAATTTTTCAGAAGGCATAGAGGAAGAATTATTAAAAAGGTCACAGCTACAACCAGAACTCGTCCATCCACATACCAGGCTCTATAAAACATTTTTAAAAACAAAAGATAACTTTTACTCTGATCTCCCATTTGTTTAATGTAGTTAAATTTAAAATTATGGATGGCAAAATTTGGCATAATTTTAATCCTTATCCCAATCCCCATGTGTAATATTTCAATTTATATCTATGATAAGAGCTATCTAGTTTCTTTATTTCAGTTTACTATTTGAGATAGGGAAAAAAGGCCTCCTGAAAGAGAAGACTGGAAGTACCAGAGACAGAAAGTATCCCAACCCACTCTGGTCTCTAGACTCGCACATTGCTTGCTTCAGCCAGATCATTCCAAATAATTACCTCCAATGAAACTTGTAGTTTCTCTGGTTATGATGCTCATAAAGTGCCTCAATTACTTCTGATTACAATTGTTGTTCATGTCAGTAAGACATTTCATTGCATTTAACTCCAAAACCTTTCATTTTTGTTCACAATGGGCATTTTTTCCACACTTTCTTCTGGATTGGCCTTTAGGATATCTTGGAACTATATTTTCCAGGATTACCAATACACAGGGAATTCTGAGAGGTTATAGTTTCAAACAATTCCACAGAGCCCATATAGGGAAAGATGGAAATGATAACCTTTTCACTTCTTTTAAACCATTCCATTAAAAAGTAGGAAAGTAGCACCATTTACAGGTAAACCCCGAGTTACGAACGTTTCCTAAGCAAACATTTGAAGTTACACGATAAACATCCCCTAGTGTTTATGAACAAGTCCTAACATTACGAATGCTGTAGCACTACAGCAGTTGTTTGCCCTTACAAATGACCACAGAGGCTCTGCAACATTCACCCTGCATATCCCCCCACCCCCGGCCAGATCTTCACAGGCACTCCACCTGTGGAGACTCAACTACCTTGCGAATAGCTCCCCTCTGTCAGTTTTTTTGGCTGCTTCGTTGTTACTTCAGGCTTTCAGTGCATTCACAGAGAACAGAGGCCTATACTCACGCGAGTTCATTAGCACATTATGCTACTGATCTCGCATTTTAGGCCTCTGTTCTCTGCAAATTGAGACCTGGACTTTTGCAAACTGAGGGAAGGCTTCAGTCTTTCAGGTCTTCCCTCCATTTGCTGTTTTCCTGCTTAAACCTGCAGGGAGGTTGTGTCCCTATAGACTTCAACAGCCCTTAGCAAAAGCCTGTGTTGGCAACAGTGGAGCTTTGGGGGGGAATTCCCTCTGAAGCTCTGTTCGGGAAGTTCTTAGGAGAGCTTCCCTCTGAAACTCTGTTCCTACTGGCAAAGGCTTTTTGCAAAGGGCTGCCGAAGCCTACAGCTATCCTCAAGCAGTTTGGTTGCAAGAAAGGAGGCCCGGAATGCTTCATGCAGCCCTCTGTGCCTCATTTTTTGTGGCTGAAGGCTTCATCAAGTGGTTTGGCGGTGAGAAAGAAGGCCCAGAAGGACATGCGCAGTGCTCCACACCTTGTTTTTTGTTGCTGAAAGCTTCATCAAATGGTTTGGTGGCGAGAAAAGAGGCCCGTAAGGGCACACACAGCCCTCTGTGCCTCATTTTTAATTGCCGAAGGCTTCATCAAGCACTTTGCCAATGAGAAAGGAAGGAGCAGGCAAAGAAAGAGAGAGGCTGGAGAGGAGACAGATCTTCATAAGGTAAGTGACCCAGTGCAGCAGGATGGGGGGAGCAATTGTGGGGACTCCAGAGGAGAGAGAATGAGATATCTTAGTAGGTCAGGGGAGGACTTGGGTGGCCTGAAGCAGGTGGCCTATTCCATTACTAGGTCCCCCATGGCCTTCCCCACCCCAAGAAACCTCATTAGCGAATGTGTGGGAAAAGCAGGAAGTGTCACATTCAAGTTACGCAATTCACTCCTATGAATCCTCAGGTTACAAATGGAATGGGTAGGCTCCATTACATTCATAACTCAAGGACTGACTGCATTTTCTCCTGGCATCGACTACTTTATATAAATCTTTCATCCAATCACCAAAATAATCAAGTCAGAAAAAAACATAAATTCAACTTACACAAATGTGTCACCTTCTCCCATAAGGAACTTTATGGCAGCAGGCAGTTCATTTTTAACTATAAAGAGGTAGCTCAACATAGCTGGAGGAAAGCATGGTAAAAAGAAACAAGAAATTGTGCCTTATGCATACAATGCTGTACATTTGTCAAAAGAGAATATTTGCCAAAATTCATATCAAGGGTAGTAAGGGAAATAGGGTATGTGCTTTTTTTTACATGTATAGAACTTGCACCAATAAAATACTAAAATAATAATGAAATGAAATGGTAGAAAGGGAAAATCATATGAAAACTAATATTTTTGTTTTACAGTAGTATATCCCCATCCACAGTTAATTATCTGCAGAAAAGGATATAATATTAAAGCCATTTCAAGCTATAATTGAATATCATAGTTTCAGCAGTTGTTTTAAAATCAGCTATTAATCAATAGCTAAAGCAACTTAGGGTTTAGTGTGCCTACAAATGTTTCTGCTCCACATGTAGTTGCTTTAAGTAAAATAATAAAAAAAACTCTACCCTTTCTTCCCTGTGGACTTTCCCATTGACTGCTGGGAATAGTAAATTTTAGTCACATTCACTTCGGTCCTGATCCCATATGCGGTTTTTTGTGTATGTGCGAGAAAAGGAATGGTATACATGCGGATGATGGTAAATGGGTACATATGTGAATAGCTATGGCTCATTGGCTCCTTTCGCAAATGATTCAAAGCAACCAGTGCAGCTTCCTAGTATGAAATGCTTGAGTAGATCTACTGAATGAATTATTTATTTTTCCTGCTTCTTTAGACTTTATTTACCTCCAGTGTTCTGAAGAGACGTAGATCCAAAAACAATAATCTTTCCTGGAGTGCCAAAAACCTGTTCTCCAAGTTTTTCATAAACCATGCAGCCTAATTAAACCAAGGTGAAGAGAGGTGGCAATTAATCACAACGAGGAACAGTACCTCTAATCATATACTGTACATTTGTTGCATACCTATGTCTATCATATTTTATTTTTTATCTTTTAACTGACAAATGGGAAGTAGAGCATAAGAAGCAGAAAGCACCTCTGCATCATAACATTTGTTCTCTCCAGTTCTTTGCAAAAAAAAAAGTCTGAAACTATTGTCTTCACTTCTCATAGCCTTGAAACGTAGGGAACACTTGTGAAAACCAATATTGCTGACCTCTTTCCTTCCGGTTGAACCGTAGGACAGTGAAAATGAGGTTGTTAAATTGCTGTGATCATCCTTACTCAAAATTAAAATAAAATAAATTGCAAGAGTATCAACCACAATTTTCATTCAATGAATATTTGTGGTGGTGGTTTACCAAAAATATTATGAGGTTGTAATGATGGGAATGTCAGTGTTCTAAGTAATGCACCCATAGAAAGCAGAGCTCTGAGGCAGGCAGATTCCTCAAAGAACAATTGATTGGATAGATCATATTGGCATAACTGGTGAAAACCAACTCTGAAAGTTTCCATGCTTTTCGCTCAGTTTATTTTCCCTTCACTTTTAAAACATACATTTTCATATACTGTTTAACCTCATTCTTATTAAGATCATATTTTAACTATAGCATTATATACTTTTTTAGTTTAATAAAGCAAAACTAAACAACGGCTCTATTTTTTTCTTGGTTTAACAAAGCATATTTAATTTCTTTTAGAATTAATAAAGCAAAATAAAACAGGCTGGATGATTTAGGCTTATATACCATATTCATTATCTCTGTTATTCTGTGAAAGTGAAATAATATAAAGTTTTATGAATTACCTGTTTCCTTTGCACATGCTAACAGGAGATTTATTGAATAAATGGAGAGCAGTGTCACTGAAATCAAAAGCAACCTATAAGAAAAAATAAGAAAAATACTTTTTAGCACTATAAAATTTGAGTAAGTGTGGATGTAAAGCAGTAATATGAATATAACTTTAATTTAAACCATAAGGACCTCTCATAGGTTAACATAATTACTTGGGGGAAGGCAGATTGGCTCAATAACACAGTAACAAATGATATATTAAAATAATTGCTCTGAATGAAATTTGTCATTTGGTCCTAAGGAATTTTTGACTAAGCATTTTGAGGACATTGGAGCTCACACACTTCTGAGTGTAGCAACTTTAAATTTAAATTTGTTTAATACTAAACAAATAATTTGTTGTGCTAATTCTAGATATTCTTTACACTGAAATACTCAGAAAATCAATTTTAAGAATATTTGCTGAAGAACTTTTTCATAGGGAAAGATCCTATTTCTCAATCTTATTTCAATTTGTGCCAAAATTATAATAGGTATTTAATCACAATTCTATTTTTGCAGAAGCAATGTGTTCTTAGGAAAACATGAATTGCAATTGAATTGTATACACAATCTCAATACAGACACTCCATAGGTTAAGATCAAGTTCTGTTGCCCTGTCTATAACTCTTTATGATGACAAAAAAGGTAAAGCACTGAAGCCATGCAATGTTTTCATGAGTTACTGAAAACAGGCTGTACACTATATTAAAAGCACACACTCTACTTTGTGAGTGTGTGCTTTTGAATGAAAGAACTGTATAGTTTCAGTGGTTCATCTGCCATTTTGAGTTGGATCATGTTGCCAATCAACTGTCTGCCATTTTAAGTACTGTAACAAGGCAGCCATCTGACATTTTGTAACAGGGAGCCCTGTTCATAAGTAGGTGTTATCTTCAACTTGGATGTTCTTAGCCCAAAGGCTGTCTGTGCATTCAAAAGGTTTTACTCCAAATATGCAAGCAGAATTGCAAAATAAGGAGACTATTTCAGGTTTTATAGTTTCAAATTGTCATGCAGTTAATTACAGTATAAATCTGATTTGCAGATTCCGTTTATTGGGATAATGTAAGAGCAAGAGCACTGAGTAATAGAAGTCAGGATTGTGAAATTTATATGAGGATCACAAGGGGAGCTTTGTGAAATTCTGCTGCTGAGAAACACCCTCAAGGAAATTGCCACCTCTGTGGCTTCTCATCTTCATTGTTTGCACACTGTATAGATATAATGGAAAGAAACACAGGAGAAACAAAGTAGCATGGGAGTTTGTGTGCCTTTTCTTGAATGGTATCAGACTTCATCAACTAGCATTTGTGGGGTGGGGATGTGACATCACATGTGGCTTCCAACAATCACCATACCACCTCCCAAATTGTTCATGAAGTTCTAAATAACAGACATTATTGTGTACCAGGACCTTGGGGTAGAGCCAGAAGAACTGAGGCGGAGACGGGAATAAAGAGGCTAACAAGTTTATTCCCTGACAATACAGGCTAACAGTAAAGAACCGGCTTCAGACAGGAACGCGCACTGCTCGTTTGGACAGCTCCCTTTTTATACTGGAGCTGTCAAACGACCAGCCAATCAGCTGTCGAGTAATTCCCGCTTAAAACAACTCTTATTGAGCATGCTCAGAACGTGACACTCATTTCCCTACGCTCGCGCAAGCGTAGTCCTGTAGATAGGCTGGGTGCCACCTAACGCAGCTGGAAACACAAGGCCCTCTGTCGCCGCCTGGGGAGCCTGAACGATCGGCTGAGGACCTTGCTTCGCAGGATGGCAATCGCACGGGCCGCAGAGGTGCCAAGGACCGGGCTGGCCACAGGAACCTCTGCGCCGCTGGGAAGCTGGTGGCATAGGACGGCTCCCACCCCATAGGGTGAGGCATCGCAGGCGAGCACAAGGGGCAAGTGCTCACTATACTGGGCGAGCACATCGTTGGAGACCAGGAGGTGTTTAATAGCTTGAAAGGCGGAAGCCTTGCGGCGGCCCCATAGCCAAGGCGCACCAGAGTCCAGGAAGCGGTGGAGCTGTTCGGCGACAGAGGCTTTGTGAGGCAGGAAGACTGCGTAAAAGTTCAGGAGGCCTAAAAAGGCCTGTCATTCAACTCTGTTTGTAGGAGGAGCCTCCACGATGGCTTTGGTATTGGCAGCAGTTGGGTGAATGCCGCGGGTATCGACTAGGAACCCCAGGAACTCTACCTGGGGGAAGGCAATTTGACACTTGTCCCACTTGACTTTAAGCCCGACTTGCTGGAACTTGTGCAGCACCGCTTGTAGTCGAGCCATGAGTTCCTCATGGGTGGACGCAGAGATGAGAACGTCGTCAAAGTACGGGATGACGCCTCGAAGTCCTTGAAGCAGTCACTCCATTAAACTTTGAAAGAGTCCTGGGGCGATTCTGATCCCAAACTGCAGCCGGCAGCATCTGAAGGTGCCCCGGTGAGTGATGATGGTTTGCGCTTCAGCTGCAGCATTGTCTACCACCAGCTGCTGGTAGGCTTGGGAGAGGTCCAGCTTTGCGAAGATGGACCCCTCGTCCAAAGTGTGGAGGAGGTGTTGGACTACTGGCACCGGGTATGCGTTGGAAGGTACAGCGTGGTTGATGGAACAGCAGTAGTCGGCGCAAATTCGGATGCTGCCATCTGGCTTGATTGGCAGCACGATGGGGGTTTCCCACCGTGCATGGTCCACAGACTCGAGGACACCTTGAGCCACGAGTTTGTCAAGCTCAGCGTCCACTTTTGGCTTGAGAGCGATAGGCACCCTGCGTGGCTTCATTGTGACAGGTGGCACAAAGGGGTCGAGATTGAAGGAGACAAGGGTGCCGGTGTATTGGCCCAGCTTGCCATCGAATACGACAGGGAATTCGTTGACGAGGCAGTCTAGGTCAGATGCGCCAAGGTGATGGATGCCGCTGATTTGCAACCCGAGGGACTGGAATCAGTCGAGGCCGAGAAGGCTGGGCAGCTTCCCTTCAACTATGATGAGGGGTAACCGGCCGACAAACCCCTTAAATTGCACTCTCACTTTTCTGGCACCAATTACTGGAACCAGGTTGCCCTGATAAGTCTTTCAGAGTCAGGTTGCAACTCTGTAATTGGCGCTTGGAAAGATGTGGAATGAGGCGTTTGATGGTGCTCCAGGAAACTATAGAGGTCGCGGAGCCGGTATCTAGTTCCATCACACACGGGCTTCCCTCAATGGTGACAGTTAGCTGGATCTTCTTTTGTAGGCTGTGGCACGAGTGACAGCTGGCCTGGTCACTGTGCATGGCATGCCGGAGGATGGCATGGCAATCCACCATGGGCTTCTTGGGGCCGTCTTTTCCGCCCCGGAACCCCTCGACCTGTCATTCGGAAAATCTGAGGAGGACATCAGCTGTGCGGCTCGGCACACCCTGGCGATGTGGCCCTTCCTGCTGCATCGTTGGCAGAGGGCTTGCCTAAATCTGCACTCAGCTCTTTCGTGGTTGCCTCCGCACCCACTACATGCAGATCTAGGGTCGCCCTTTTGGCTGCAGAAGCTCTTTCTGCTCGCCTCATTAAGGCGGTTAATGTCCTCCTCCCCATCGAAGTCAGGGTCTTCACTCTCTGACTCTTGGGGCCCAGCAGCCATGTTAAAAGTGCTAGAGGGTTGCGTGACGGCAGCAGGCTGGCTTTTCGTGATGGTGGCCAGAGACGCAGCGGCCATCTCAGAGGCGCGGACTTCATTGAAATCAGACTTGCAGGACATTTCTGACTTGTCCAATAGCCCCCCCTGGAGCTTG